AAGCTGAGACGGCGAGCGGTCGCCCATGGTGAGGCCGGAGAACAGTTTCTGCAGCCGTTTCTCCACGGTGTCGCCGAAACGAGCGATGATGTGTTTCTTCAGCTGCTCGTATTTGCCGGTAGCGGGCGGCGTCCTCAGCACATCCTGGAGCTCCCCGACTGTGTCCTGGTCCAACTCTGCTACGGCGGCGTAGTAGCGGTCGTCGTCCGAGTGCATCTCGTAGTTCCTGAAGATGGCCTCTAGCTGCAGGAACCAAAGGTCCGGGCATCGACGCGTGAAGGGTGGCCAGCGGTAAGGTCGGCGTCCGACGTCGCTGGGCTGGTTGGCCTCGGCGTAGGTGCTGGTGGTGGTCAAGGTGTCGGAGGTCGGCGTAGTGGCCGGTGCCGTATTCTGGCGTTCAGTGTCGTCCGGGAAATAGCCGGTGCCGCGCTGGGAAGCTTCGACATGTGTGATGGGCATCTTCCTCTCTTTTTCTCTTTTTGTCGACGAGGAGGTGCAAGTGACGAAGGAAAAAGTGGGTACTCACACGAAGATGGGTGGCGCCTGAGAACACGTGGCGTTGATGAGCACGTGGTGATGAAGAGCACGTGGTGTTGAAGAGCACGTGGTGTTGAAGAGCACGTGGTGTTGAAGAGCACGTGGTGTTGAGAAGCCGTGGTATGGAGAGCACGTGGTGCTGCCGAAGATGGTCCCCGGGATCACGTCGGGGTCACCAATTTGGGATTTCCTTCCCTGGTCCACGTGTTAACGGAAAGATAATACAGAGAAATAATTTTTATACAAAAACACGATGAGAGGAGTGCGACCAGCCGGTACGACGGACGAAGTAAAAGTGAAGGTGTTTTTGCGTATGCACCGCCACGGCGATCCAGGCATCCGGAGTAGAGAGAGCAACGGTCGCAATGGTCACTCTTCCGCTCTGACCAATCAAAGGCATGGTCAGGCCAATCAGATGCCCCTGCGGAGCCGCATCACGAGGTGCTTGAGTATATTAGTGCTGGCGGCCGAGAGGTGTCAGCACTTTCCCTGCGCGCGCTGCTACAGCTGCGCGCTGTCGGCCGAGAGGTGTCGGCACTGCGCTGGTGCAAAACGCCACAACTCCTGTAGTCACGTGATTGCGCGCGAAGTATTCAAACATTGAAATAATTATGAAATAATGAATTGCATCAAATACAGAAAAAAATGAACTATATTTTATGATAATTAAAAATTTATATTAAAATAGAATAGGTTACACGAAAAAATGATTATAAATTCAAGCGGTCCCCTAAAATTTTCAGCCAATGGCACATGAGCTGAATATGAATGGCGCATCCCTCCTACAGGATCCCTAATTAAAAGAAATATTGTTTATTGAGATTATAATTGAAATATTATCGTTTTAAGTAAGTTGGTTTTAAAAAAAAACAAAACAGAATTTAAATAAAAATTACTCTATCTATAAACAAGTTTAAAAAGAAAAAGTAATTTTTTTTTAAAGTTAATTTTTTCAAATAATAATAAATTAATATAATTTAAAGAAAATATTATAATTAATAATGATATATATTTAAATATCAGATCTATTTTAATTTATTTGTAATTATAATATTCAATTCATAACTTAATTTGATTAATAATTTGATTTTTATAACCAAATAGACATGAAATATAGAAACTTTGAAATCAAATTAATGATGTTTACATTTTGTTTAGTATTTATGATCTTTCTTATTTATTTATAGAATAAACAAAAATTTGAAATTTAATTTTAAAAAGATAAATCACTATTGAAAGGATAAAAAAATATTATTTCTGACAATAAAAGAGAATTTTATGTAGAAGACGATTTTTATAAACTTGTTCCTGAATTGTTTATATATATATATATATATATATATATATATATATATATATATATATATAAATTAAACACACACAGAAACAGACAATGAGTGTGTATATAAGTTAAATAAAACAAAAAAAGAACAAATTTTATTTATTGCAATCTCATTGCTCAATGTTTTCTATTAATAGTGACAAATATAATTTAAATAATTGAACTATAAAACTATCTCGTCAAAATGAATGATGGTGTGCGTTTTGTCTCTATATAATGAATAATAATTTTAACTAGGTAGCATATTTTTTTATATTTTTTTTTATTATTAATCATTTGTAATCTTTCGAATATAATAATAATCTTAAACCAAATTAGATTTGGTTTAATTGTCACATGGATATTTATTAAAACCAACGGTGTGGTGGTCATTATGAAAAAGCGTTAAGAGTAAAAAGATTACATTTAAACTAAATTAATTAATTATTATGGGGGAGGAGAGCATGGATTTAAACACCGAAACATGATTCATTATTTAATCCTTATCGGTCATCAGATTTTTCTATCAATGATTTTCATTAACATAAGTTATATATATGACAATGAACTTTTGAGTTACTAATGCCAATTAATAATAATTACAATAATAATAATAATTAATTAATTGTTTAGTGGTTTCGATAAATATTTAACAAAATTGTTTAACATATTATAAAAATAACTTTTATTATTTATTAGAAATAATTAATTTTATTTTTTGTTTTTTTTTAAAGGAATATTACAAATGTATGAAAATTATTAATAATATTATTTTTATTTTGTAATAATATAAATTATTTTTATGATGCAGCAATGAACTTTCGAGTGTCTAATGTCAATTATTAATTAATTAATTAATTAATTATGTATTTTTATTTATTGACCGATAAGGGTTAAAATGAAATAAAAAATGTTATTCGTCTTTTGATATAAAAATTACTTTGCATAAGTTTATAATAACTTGTGTATATAAAAGTAAAATAGACAAAGTTTTATTTTACGTATTAAGGTAAAAAAAAAAAAACAAGCATCAGCTAATTATTATTATTATTATTACGCAGAATATTTTTTATTTGGAAAAATTTTTCCTAATTATTTAATTATTATTAACAAAGTGTTTTTTTAAAAATGCTTATTAATCTTCCATGCAGCACCTAGGTTCAAGTTTCATTTGTTTTTGTTTTTTTTTACAGTCTTTAAACAAGAATCAATGTATATGTATATAGTCTCTATTTAATAATTCCATGATTATTTAATTAACTAATTAATTAATCTCATAGAATAATAATATTATTACGTGTAAATTTGAGGATTAATGGGGGATGATAAAATATAAATGCAAAAAAAAAAAAACGAAAAATATGTAAAAGGAATTTTGTTGTTTTCGCGTCCGATCTCGAGATATAATCTTAAAAGTAATTTCAAAAGAGATTTAGATTAGAATAAGATTATTATTATTATTATTATTATTATTATTATTATTATTAGCAAAGATCTTATTTCATAATACGCAGCAGCACAACACACATACAAATGCGAGAAAACACACACACCGTACACGTGGCAGCGCATACGCATTTCTTATTTTCTTTTATTCAATTCATTTTTGCATGTGTTTTTTTGTCTTTTATTTTATTTTATTTTATTTTATTTTACTTTATTTTATTTTATTTTATTATAAATCGCAAATTTATTATCTTTTTAATTATTATTATTATTATTTTTTTTTTTTTTAATTTAACTATAACAGCTGCCTAATAAAAAAAAGTCTTACATAATTTAATGCCGTCATTGATTTTTTTTTTAGGAATTCCAATTAAGTTAAAGATCACATTTATAAAAAAAAAAAAAAAAAAAAANAATTACTTTTAATAAATATGTTATATTTATTATATAAAGTATTATAAATAATTTTAATAACTGTATATTATATTTATTAAATTATTATAAATATTTTTTTATTCAAATAATATTCTACACAGATTAATTTCAAATGTTTAACTGACATTTCAGTCAGTTTGTTATACACTCTTGGTGATAATAGTACATATGAAAATTTAGTAATACTATTGAAAGATATATCACTTGATATTCATCAATCATATGTAATTTATACACAATGACATGCAAAAACATATTTTACTCAATTAGCAAAACAGTTTTTATATAAGAAATTTTTTAGTAAATGTAACACGGTGATGAAATGTCAAATAATTGACCAGTATGATCACTTTATTTTTTAAAATCTTTAATTTACAATACACTGATAAACAATATTAAAGAACTTTAATATATTCAAAAATATTGTCTGCATAAACAACATGTGATACATATGAATGAATGCAGTCTACGATGAGATATTTGGTAGACTAATGAAACCAAGCGTAGCCATATTGAAGAGTTCTTATTAAAATATTTAAATAACAGGTTTTACATATAAACAGTTATAATTCAAAAACAAAGTTATATTGAGAGTATATTTATACAAATTTGTTTTCTTATTTTAGCATATTGACTCTACGCTAACATTATCAGAAACAATGTCTGTATATTTTTCGTATATTTCTTTCTAAGAATGAAATGCTTACCAAAAACAATTTCTTTATATATGATTGTAAAAATGAAATGTTTGAATCTTTATATTACAGAACAAATTGGGCTTACCGGTTATCAATGTTCACAAATTTCATCACACACCTGATGGAAGAGCTGCTAAAGTATCAGATGCTATATCTAAACAATATCCTTTGGTGGATCATAAGTACGATGCAGTTGTCGTTGGTGCAGGTGGTGCTGGGTTACGTGCAGCTTATGGACTGGTTGCAGAAGGTTTCAAAACCGCAGTCGTTACTAAATTATTTCCAACTAGATCACATACTGTAGCTGCCCAAGGTGGTATTAATGCTGCTTTGGGTAATATGGAAGAAGACAATTGGCAATGGCATATGTATGATACTGTCAAAGGATCTGATTGGCTTGGTGATCAGGATGCAATACATTACATGACACGAGAAGCTCCTAAAGCAGTCATTGAATTAGAAAATTGTGGTATGCCATTCAGTAGAACTTCTGATGGTAAGTTATTATTAATTACGTTTAATTATGTTATTATGTTTTTTAACGTTACTTCTTCTACGTTGATAAAAATGATATTATTATCTACAATAATAGTTAATCAAACACAAATAAAATTAATTGAAAATCAAAAATGAATTGTTAATACTATTTCTTTTCTTTTTTTTTTTTTTCAGGAAAAATCTATCAACGTGCTTTTGGTGGTCAATCATTAAAATTTGGTAAAGGTGGCCAAGCACACAGATGTTGTTGCGTTGCAGATAGAACAGGACATTCTTTGCTACATACGCTTTATGGACAATCATTGAGTTATGATTGTAATTATTTTGTTGAATACTTTGCATTGGATTTACTTATGGAAGACGGAGAATGCAGAGGAGTCATTGCGCTTTGTTTAGAGGATGGTACACTTCATCGGTTTCATGCTAAAAATACAGTACTAGCAACTGGGGGTTATGGTCGTGCGTATTTCTCTTGTACATCAGCACACACATGTACAGGAGATGGTACAGCAATGGTATCGAGAGCTAACTTACCTAATCAAGATTTGGAATTTGTACAATTTCATCCAACAGGTATCGATTAAACAAATAAATAAAATATTATCTTTTTTTTTGCGAATTTATCTTTGAATAAAATTTATAATCGTTCATGTATCTTATGCATTTCAGGAATTTATGGCGCGGGTTGTCTAATAACGGAAGGTAGTCGTGGAGAAGGTGGTTATTTAGTAAATAGCGAAGGTGAAAGGTTTATGGAACGTTACGCACCAGTTGCTAAAGATTTAGCTTCGAGAGACGTAGTCTCCAGGTCAATGACCATAGAAATACGCGAGGGAAGGTAAATGAACTAATGCGACATTGAAAAAAGATTTATTTCAATGGCGATTATGGAAATAATAATTCATTAATATTTTATTTCGCGTAGAGGCGTTGGACCTGATAAAGATCACATTTATTTGCAATTACATCATTTACCACCTGAACAATTAGCTGCTAGATTGCCTGGTATATCTGAAACAGCTATGATATTTGCTGGAGTTGATGTAACACGAGAACCGATACCTGTTATACCGACTGTGCACTACAATATGGGTATACAAATCATTACAAATCATAATTTGTTTTAATCAACAATGATTGGATCAAAAGTTGAAATGATATATATGAAACTTGATACAGGCGGTGTACCAACCAATTACAAGGGTCAAGTGTTAACCAGACATAACGACGAGGATAAAGTTGTACCTGGATTATATGCTTGTGGTGAAGCTGCATGTGCCTCGGTTCATGGAGCTAATCGACTTGGTGCAAATTCTTTACTCGATCTCGTTGTATTTGGTCGAGCTTGTGCTAAGACAATTTCACAAGAAAATAAACCCGGTGAAACTGTAGGACCATTAAGAGCAGTTAGTATTCTTATCAAAACAAAATATTAATTCTTATTGTTCAATTGATATCATTGTGATTTGTCTCATACCATTTTTAAATTTAAATCTTCTTCTTCTTTGTTTTTAGAACGCCGGAGAAGAAACAGTCGCAAATTTGGATTGGATTAGAAATGCCAATGGTACGGTTCCTACTGCTGAATTAAGACTGAACATGCAAAAAACTATGCAAACACATGCCGCGGTATTCAGGGATGCTCAAACTTTGCAAGAAGGTTGTAAAAAGATGTCAGGAATTTATAAGAAAATGGATGATTTGAAAGTATCCGACAGATCACTCATATGGAATTCTGATTTGGTGGAGACACTTGAATTACAAAATTTAATGATAAATGCTATGCAAACAATAGTAAGCGCAGAAAATAGAAAAGAAAGTCGAGGAGCTCATGCTCGTGAAGATTTCCGTGATAGAATCGACGAATATGATTATAGTAAACCATTGGATAATCAAAAACCTAAACCTTTAGATCAACATTGGAGAAAACATACTTTAACGACTATTAATCCTAAAACTGGAGAAGTATCTATCACGTATAGGCCAGTAATTGATAACACGCTTAATGAACAGGAATGTGCAACAGTACCACCTGCTATTCGTTCCTATTAGATCACTATTATTATCATTTTTAATTTAACATTCTCTAAATTCACTTTATCATTTGAACAAAACAACAACAACAAAAAAGCTATCACATGTTTCACATATGAAAAATAATTACACCGTTCATTTTATCTTTAGTTACAAGTTTCCCCTGCATTCGTTGTGTGTTTTAATTGAGGGATTAACATTAGATATACCACCATTTTCAATATACCTATTTCTACCACACTAGTCAAAATGACTGGTGTGTAAACAAAAATGCTTTTTGAGACTTCCAGTCTTTATTTACTCTTAAAAAATAAAATAACAAAAAAATGTTTAACAATAATAATTTTAATAGATATTTTTAAATAACAAAACGCTTAATTATTTACAGAAATTAAATGTTACATGTGAAGTAGAAATTTTGAATTAAAATGGCCCGACCAGTCGAATTGACTGGTCTGGCTGGTATATCTAATGTTAAGAAAAATAACCTTAAATAATAAACATTTTCTCGTTTCCCTTTTATACTTACACACACACACGCGCGCGCGCGCGCGTAAAAGAAGGGGGAATAATTAATTTATTAAACTATATAAAAAGAGAGGTTATAATAATTAATATAGTTGCACCAAAGTGAATTCTTGTCAATGCTTACGCGCTTACTTTAGCGAGTGAGATTAGTTATCCTTGTAGGATGTTGGTGCTGATATATATGTTTCATTGTTTCAAAATGATTTAACCGTTTGATCTCCTAAAAAAAAAAGAAATTTCTGTGTTTTATCTTTATTTTACAGTAATTCTAGAAAAATATGGATGATAAGAAGTGAACGAGACCGAATGAAAGAAAAGATCATGAGAAAAATATAGGAACAATCTTTTAAGGAGTTTGTTCTTCTTTATTAATAAAATAATGAATATTGTTTATATAACAATATTTTTTCGAATGAATTTTTAATATCGTTAAGAAGTACCTGTTGTATCGCGCTATTGCAAAAATCGTATATTTATATTTATTTACATCACAAATATTGTATATCATCCCTTTTGAAAAATTATAAATTAATGTTAACACTTTGTTGACCACCGGCCCCGAGTTAACTCGTGTTTCTATGACCGAACGTTGCTGACCGGTCACGAGTTAACTCGTGATGCGCTTTTTTATCGCATCACGCTATTTAAAAGGAAAACGCTACGAAAATAAATATTAAAATACTAACAGATTTTTGTTGTACTATTGTTATACTGTTTAATCATACGAAAAAGAAATATTTAAAGTCTAATAATAAGTAAAATTTATTAAATATTATTTATACTGTTTTACTTTTCAATTCAATTACGTAGTAATAGCCTGTAACATGAGATAAATTCTTAAAAAAATAGCTGGTCAACAAAGTGTTAATATATATATATATATAGAATATAAGTTATTAAAATTAAAATTGAATAAAAATTATATTAATAATATGTCTTATTATCTCATATGAAATATTAAATATGTCTGAAAATAAAAAACTAAACTACTCTAAACAGAAAAAAAAAAAAAAACTAAAATTAATACTAAACTGTTTCAAAAATAATCTCACTTTTGTAATTAATAAGTTAAAAAATTTCCAAAACTTTTAAAAGGGTTTTTATACAAAAGAGAGCGTGTGTGTACTTCTTAAAAGGTTACACAGAACAAACAAACAAACAAACCCGAGTACACAGACATTTTTCTTGGCGGCTATATACTTAAATATTCGCACAGGTGTAACTAGTTTTATAGAAATGTTTGCGTTGTGATGAAAACAATTGATTTTTACACAGATCCTATTATTTTTCTTTTTTCTTTTCAAATTTGTAATGGCATGCTATATTTGTTTGTTAAAATTGAGAATGGTTTGTTGCACATATGTTATGATAAAAAAAATATATAAAAAAAAAGAATAAAAAAAAATTATTTAAAATTATTGTAGGCAATAAAAAAGCATTGGTAAGAAATCTTCTCGTTGATTAATAATAAAACACAATTATTTTTTTGTTTCATTTATGTTTACGTTGAACATCCTGAACAAACAAACAGAGAAATCTATATATATATATATTAGGGTGGGTCAAAAAAATCCGCATCGCAGTTTTTTATTTTTTTTCTCAGTCCAATAGAATAAAAATTCATATCTCATCATTAAATGATTGTACAGAAAAATGTTCTAGACGAATTTTGTAGAAATTTTAATGCTCTATAAAAATGGTGTCTTATATTTTGGCGATTAAATTAAGCGCGTTCAAAAGATATTCAGAGACAGAAATCAGTACACATGAAAGTTTGATGCATTTTATTTTATTAGTATTTTTAAATAATAATGACATATTTATTATGTCCTCGGTCGAAATTAGATAATTTGTAATTTAATAATATTAATTAATATTTAATGTATATTATCAAAAAAATAATATTTGATATTGTATTATACTTGATAAATAACCTAAAATTATTTTCGTAGAATTTAAATTTCGCTCTTGGCGCATGCGCAATAGACGTGAGTTTCATCACGATAGTAACGACCACGGAGGATAGATACCAGGAGTCCGAACGTAATGTTGAAAGAACGGTATCAATTTAGGGAACAAGATATTTTGCCGGTAGGGCGCGCTACTTTTCACAGAGTACTCCTTTTTAAATACTTACGCGGGAAGTCTTGTTGTTATTGACAGCTTTGAAAAAAAATATTTTGAGAAACGTGGAATTAAATAAAAGTTTAAGGAAATTTTTAGAAACCTCAAACGTTTTCAATTCAGCAATATTGAGAAGTCTAAGAGATAATCTGCAAAGTTAAAAACATCTGATATTAATAAATCATAATACAAAAATCAGTAGACACCAAACCATTTTGTTAAAAAAAAAAATAGATTTATGCGAAGAAAAATTTTAAGAAATAGGGACCGTGCTTCTAGAGACCCTATAGGAGGGACGCGCCATGTACACTGCTGGGGGGACAAGAACTCTTTGGGATTTCTTTCCCTGGTCACTAGATACGTTAAGGTGCGTTCTCCTTAACGCGAGGAACGGGCCGCGGAGAAAGGAATGGACCAATGAGACTCCGTGTGGGGGAAAGAAACTTCCGATTACTATTTTTGATCCCTTGGGACGAGATTTTATTTACCAAGCATGGTGTGCCACGTGTTAACGGAAAGATAATACAGGGTGCGTCTGACGGGTGGTCGTCCGAGGTGTCTAGGTATGCTGGTTTCAAGGCGTCTGTAGACACGGCCTTTTCAGCGCCGTTCACCAGGATGACATACACTTTGTCATTGATGCGGCGGATGACTCGGTGTGGTCCTGTATAAGGAGGTTCGAGCGGTTTCCTGACCGTGTCGACTCGCAGGAAAACGTGCGAGCATGTTCGGAGGTCCCTGAAGAAGAACGGGCGGTGGCGCGAGTGGTCCGTTGCCGGTGTGGCACTTAGTGTCCTCATGAGTTCCCGTAGTTGGCCGACGAAGGAGGTCGGGTCGGCGGGTGAGCTGCTGGGCGTGAAGAAACCACCGGGAATGCGAAGCGTTGTGCCGTAGACCATCTCTGCTGGCGAGGCTTGCAAGTCTTCTTTGTACGCATTCCGTAGGCCGAGTAGCACAAGAGGAAGTGCGTCGGGCCAAGGAGTTTGAGCGCACATTAGCGCTGCCTCAAGTGTTCGATGGAATCTTTCTACCATGCCGTTGGCCTGAGGGTGATGAGGTGTGGTACGGATCCTGGTGGCCCCCGAGGCCTGAGCGAGTGCGGCGAAGAGTGCTGACTCGAATTGGGTACCCTGGTCCGAGGTGATGGTGAGCGGACATCCCTTGTCCGCAAT